CAGCAGGTCGAGGCTGCGGTGGCCGGGAGCGGTCACTGCACTCCAGTCTGGGTGACAGAGTGAGTCTCCAACTCAAAAAAACAAAAAAACAACAACAAAAAACAAACTAAAAGAAATTAGCAGTGAGACTAGCAAGGCCTGGAATTTTCACTCTGGAAAGATTTTAATGTACCTATTTAATTTCCTTAAATATAATTAATAGATATAGAGATACTCAGATTTTCTTTCTCCTTGTGCCAGTTTTGGTAACTTGCCTCTTTCAAGTTATTAATTCATTCCATCTAAGCTGCTGGTCTTATTGGCATAAAATTGTTTAACATTTTTCCTTTGTGATTCCTATATGAGCATTTTGTATTTTTTCTCTTCCTTTTTTTTTTTGAAAGCAGGATTTATTAAGAGGACAGAAAACCTCCCACAGTAGGAGGGGACCCGAGGGGATTGCCCCTTTTTATTTTAAGTGTTTTTGTTAAGTCTAGATAGAGGTATCAATTTTACTAATCTTTTAAAAGAACCATTTCGGATTTTATTGATTATTTCTATTGTTTGCTGTTTATTTTACTGAGTTGTGCTTTTATCTTTATTATTTTTTCCTTCTATTTATTTTGCCCTTAGTCTGCTCTTCTTTTTCTAGCTTCTGAAGGTAGAGGCTGAGGTTACAGGTTTGAGGCTTTTCTTCTTTTCTCTAATATGTGCATTTAAAATTTAAAATTTCCTTCTTAACTGCTTCCCAAAAATGTATGCTATTATCATATCAATCAGTTAAAATATTTCATACTTCCTTTCCCTTTTAATTTATTCTTTAATCCACTTATTTATAAATGTGCTGTTTAATTACTAACTATTTAAGGTTATTTTAAACAACTTTCTGTTACTGATTTTTAATTTAATTCCAATGTGTTCAGGAAATATACTCTATATTATTTCACTCACTCTAAGCCCTTGAGACTTGTTTTATATCACAGCATATGCTCTATCTTAGTGAATATTTACACTTGAAAAGAATGTGTACACTGCTAAATTTGGTTGTAGTGTTCTATACTATAAATGGCAATTAGGTCAAGTTGATTGATGGAGAATGTAGTTCTTGTGTCTTTGTTGATTTTCAGTCTAATTGTTTTATCAATTACTGTGGAAGAAATATTGAAATCATCAACTATGATTATGGAATTGTGTTTCTCCTTTCTTCATGGCTATCAGTAGTTGCTTTATGTGTTGAAACTCTGTTCCTGGGTGCATATATATCTAGGGCCATTGTATTTCTGATAAAACCGACACTTATCTGCTATCCAAAGCTTAAAAACAGTTGTTTTACGTATTTTATTCAGTTTTATTATTACTTAAGTTAGATCAATACCTATTACTTCATCATGGCTGGAACTAGAAGCTGAGTAAAAGATTTCTTGAAGGTGATCTAGTCACTATTATGAATAATGGATATCTATTGAATAACATACTGACATCTATTTATTTATTGAGACAGGGTCTTGCCTTATTGCCCAGGCTAGAGTGCAGTGGCACATTCATAGGTCACTGTAGCCTTGAACTCCCAGGTTCAGGCTATCCTCTTTCCCCAGTCTCCCAACTAGCTAGGACTACAAGCATACACCATCCTGCCCTGCTATTTTATTTTTTTTGAGACAGGGTCTCTCTATGTTGCCCAGGCTGGTCTTAAACTCCTAGCCTCAAGTGATTCTCCTGCCTTGGCCTCCCAAAGTGCTGGGATTACAGGCATAAGTCACCACACCCTGCCAAAGCATGTTTTTAAGGAAGATGTTTCACTTATTTCTGCATGAAAAAATTATTTATTCTGATCTGTTTCAGACCTGTGGCTATCTGGGCTTTGGGTTGTATAATCATTGAGATGGCCACTGGAAATCTACTAGGCTCAGTTTTTAGTCCTCGTATCTTTTCTGTCTGTACCTCCTTGGTGATTTCATCCAGACTCGTGGCATTTATATGCTGATGATTCTTGAATCTCTCCAGCCTGGACTTGATCCCAAACTCCAAACTCAGATTTTCAATTACCTAATCATTAGCATGATTAAAACACGTAACAGTTATCTCAATTGAACATATCCAAAATTAAGATCCAGCTCTCTTTCCCACTCCCGCCTGCTCCCCTGTTTTCTGCATCTTAGTTAAGGGCAACTCCATTCTTCCAATTGCTCAGGAGAAAAATCTTGGAGTGATCCTCAACTCTTCTCTGTTTCTCATCTTTAGAGTAGTTCCAGGAGCTAACCACTTTTTACATCTGTTGTCTGGATTTTGCAGAAGCCTCCTCACCTCATCTCCCTGCTTTCATTCTTGTTCAACCTTCAGTTTCTTACCAATGCACTGCCTGGGCATTCTTAATAAATCATCCTAAATCAGATGATGCCATTGCTCTCCCCAAATTCCCAAGTGGCTTCCCTCTTCATTTAGAGTAAAAGCCAGACATTACAATATCCTACATGGTATCCCTGTACAGTATGCCTCTGCCCCTTCTTTGACCCTTTTTGCTTCTTCCTTCCCTATTGCTCATTCTGTTCTGCACCTACTGGCCCCTTTGTAAATTATGCTCTTGCCTCAGAATCTTTGCTCTGACTGTTTCCTCTGCCTAGAAATCTCTTTCCTCAGTTACCTCCATTTCTCTTTTCACTTCATTCCAGTTCAAGACAACTTCTTTACTGGTTTTTACTCATACAAGGGGGTCCCCCCCAAAATGGGAATTATGTTTTGGAGGGCAGGCCCTTATAGCACACTTGGAATTTGTTCCTCCGGATCAAGTGGTTAATCAAAGTTTTTATCTGGAAGTTTTGAGAAGGTTGCATCACAATT